TTCTTTTTGTACTTTAGGAAGGTTGAGGTTTTAGAGATGGGCAAATAAAGACACCTTGTAGCACCTGACTTACAATGGTCAAGAGTTTTCATCAAAACAGCTTATAAATCTTCCTTCATCAGACAAAATACTTTCTCTCCACTCTTCTCTTCCATTGTTCCCAGCTGTTATCAGTAGGTATTATCTATTACTAGGACTCCTTTTAATTCAGAGGCTTTATTTAAAAGATAAGTGCACTCTCTTTGAAAAGGGGCATGCTTACTATGGAACTGATGCTGGAGGTCTACCATAGTTGAACTTTTTAAAATTTTTAACAATTTCAAACTGTTGGAGTCATTGTAGTGGCCACTGAGATCCTATAGATGGTGCTAGATGCTAGCAGCAAACTGCAGTGTCTAAAAACCTATATGGGGCCTCTTGGCAACCTGCATGATTTCATTCCCTATATCTTGGTGAAGGTGGAAAGTCCCAGACTTTCAGGACTTATAGGTGACCTCATTTTACTAACATCACCACTAGTATTAAGGATTGATTGGGAGGATGCACCCATGTGGAATCTATTCTCCAATCCAAACACTGTATCTATGCTACTCTTCCTTGCTTGTAAAAATGGTATGAAAGTAATAAATGCCACGTATGTGGTCAGACATCTTGGCACCCTGCACAATGACTGATCTTTGAAATCCATCAGTCATCTTATGACAAACATCCAGGTACCAGATCTTAAAATGAGACTAAAATGTATCTTTGGGTAACTTTGTGTATTTTATTTTTTTCATTTGCAAAACAGCAAGCCATTATTTCAAAAATGCCCACAACTGTCCACCTGCCCTCAATGGCTTGAGCCAGCTCTCAACTTTCATGTATGGAACAGCATCACTGAAGCTGTTGATCTCCTTATCTACTCCTTGAAAAAAGAAGTTATGAGATTGAAGGGTAATAAAGAAATGTAGTAGAATATATTATAGCATTAAGTAGAGAGTTACTCTATAGGCAGTTCTTATCTTGCTGTTGTAGAAAAGGTTTCCTTAACCTTTCACTTGTAAAACAATTATAACACATGCCTGCAATCAGTTACATCCCTCTCCTATTAAGACACATGATTGTCCTATCTAAATCAATCTGAATCCATCTGTTTTCCTGGATTGATACATTTCACCCCAGCATCACCCCCTGGGAATGAAATGTACCTCTCTGGGAATGTAGCTACCTCCATCTGGAGGAATCCACACCTTTGAAGTATGCTGTTAATAGCCTCCTTAAGTGGTCAATTGTGATCAGTTAGTAGGGCAATAGGAGAAGACATAACGAAAGGTAAACATTGCCAGGAAAAGATCTGTCTTTTGCAGGAAGATGTAAATCTAAGTTAGAGCGTTTTACAATGCAGTTAAAGTATATGACTTGACTTCTAAGAATCCTAAAGGTATAAGAAGACTCTACTTTATGCTTTATAGCCTTCCTCTCATACCTATCTTGTATGTGAGAATAGGTCTTACCCTAACCTTATTGATCAATTAAAGTTAGATCTTGTTCTTCAAAGCCTCTGCTTAAGTTCATTTTTTGCACATTGTGATCTTAAGTTATAGCCGGATTTTACAAGACCTAGGCAGTCTCATTGGCAGGGAAAATCTAGAAATTGCCAATGTATGGCCAGAAAACAAATCATCATGAAGACTACATTCAGTCAGCTGTAACAAATTCCCCCAAGGCCTGGTACCAGAACATCCAGCAGCTTTACAAATTGAATCATAAATGACAAAACTGCCAAATGTAGATAGCGATCTATAGCAAATGAACAACTTGGCAAAAGGATCATCCCCACCCCCCCACCCCCAGCTGATGGAATGTGTTCCTATGCATATTCCTTCTGCTCCAAGCATAGGACCCTTGAACCAGCAAATCCAAAATGATGAGGTATCCCAAATTAGTAAGACAATGCTACATCAAGGCTAGAATGTTGATCTAGCAATCTTCCTTCCACAAGTTGACTCTTGGAAGTGTACTGGCAGTTTGAGCCTGTTCAAAAGCTGCCATCAGGGTCACCTGACCAAAATCCATCAGCCAATTCACAGAGGGCTGACTCATTGCTTCTGCTACCATGTGTCCAGAATTATAAGCAGTATTACTATTCTCAAAAATCAAAGCCACTTTGGAGATTTCCTTGCCTGTCAACTCCTATGTTGGACTGAAGGGGGAAATGTATTGTGGGGAGAATGTGGGCATACACAGGTGCCAAGATCAAAGATGTATTAGGTTCTGCAAATAAATGTGAGAAATTTGCTCATCCAAAAGTAAATTGGGATTCCAGGAAGTGTTGGATCATTTCTTACTTGTACCTTGTCATCAAGTTGTTGGGAAATAGTCTCATGGAGTTACATTTCAACTCAGGGGTGGGATTCTACCGGTTCGGGAGAACCGGATGTTAATTGTACATCCAGTTTGGCGAACCGGTAGTTCTGAAGACCAGCTGGCCCCGGCCACCCTGCCCCGCCCCTCCCCGAAGTCGCTATGCGCCTGGTTCTGGCTCCCAGGTCAGTGGAGACTTGCAAAGCCAAAAACGAGGCAGGGAAGTGGGGTGGATGTGGGGTGCACCCCTGCCCTCCCCCTCGCGCTGTTTTGGGTCTTCTAAGGCTCCAGGGAGAGGCAAACTAATCACCTAATTGAACAGCCCGTTTTTAGCATAGCAAGCCTCCCTGGAGCCTCAGGAGACCCAAAACAGCATGCGGGGGGAGGGTGCGGGGGGGGCTGCCCCACCTCCCTAGCACATCTTCCCCCTATGTGCCGTTTTGGGTCTCCTGAGGCTCCAGGGAGGCTTGCTATACTAAAAACTGCTTTTTTTTTTTTTTTTTTGCTTTGGGGGTGTTCAGGAAGAGTGCTGCCTGTCACACACCCCTGGCCATGCCCACCCAGCCGGTGATTAGGGCAGAGAACGGGCTGCTCAATTAGGTGATTAGTTTGCCTCTTTCACCCGAGGGCTGCCTGCTCTCCCTCCCACCGGCCAGCATGTAAGGGCTTCAGTTTGTTCCTGCCCTCAAACAGTAAAGGTTCTCCAGCAGCTGGGCTTACAATTGGCTTGAAACAACTGAGTTCCAGGTCCTTCCTCCTCCTGCTCCTTTCTGCTTCTGCCTCCTCCTTTTCCTCCTCCTGCTTCCTGTTTCTCCTGCTACCTCTTCTTCCTCCCCACTTTCCTCCTCTCCTTCTCCCAGCATTGCAACTGGGCTTGAGTTCCTTTCCTGAACCTCTCCAAGTTTGCAAGACAAACACGCAGCAGCCCAACTTCCAACCAAGTGCTTTCCCAAAGCTTTGTTGGAGGGAAACAAGGTATGTGTGTGTGTGTGGGAATGTCACCTTAAGTGGTAGGTCTCCAAGGGAATCCCTCTCTCATTTGCACCAAAACTGCTGACTGATGACCGAGTATCTCTCTGTCCCTGTCTCTGCCTCTCCCTGCCTCTCCTTCTCTCTTTTGAATGGTTTTGTCAGCACTTCCTCAATGTGCTGGATCTTCGGTTTATTTTGCTGGAAGGGTAAGAATTTTCTCTTCCCCCCCTCTTAGAAGAAAGTCACAGGTTTAATCTGGAAGAGAATCACTGTGCTGAACCATTGAAAAGTGCAGGTGGTGGTCATTTACCCTCTTCCTGCTTTCCCGGGTCTTTGGGGATTTCCTCTGGACCAAAAGCAGAGAGCCTCTCTTCCAGTGAAGATTTCTCTCTGTGTCTTCTAATTTTCTTCCAGAGCAGAACAAAAAAGCGTCTTCCTGTGAAGGCTTTTCCAGTTCTTTATTCTGATTTTCTCCAGGAGCAAAATAAAGCCCTTTCTAGTGAAGTCTTCCCTGTGTGTTTATTCTGATTTTCTCCTGGACTGGAGCAAAATCATCTGGTGGCAGGCTTTAAGTAACAATCCCACACTTATTTTACTCCATGCGTGGCCCACCCACTATTTAATTTATACTTCTGTTTGTGCTTCTTTCCCAAACTGTATACTTTTCTCCCCCCTCCTCACCTCCCTCCTTCCCTCTCTCTCTCTCTCTCACACACACACAGATCCATGGTAAAATTGTCTTCCATGAAACCAGTCCCTGGTGCCAGAAAGGTTGGGGACTTCTGAATTAGACCATGCAGGAGAGCCCTTTTAAGGATTATGTAACTCAGGGGTCTCCAACCTTGGCAACTTTAAGACTTGTGGACTTCAATTCCCAGAATTCTGAGAGTTGAAGTCCACAGATCTTAAAGTTGCCAAGTTTGGAGACCTCTGTCCTAAATGCTAAAGCTGCTGCATATAAAAAACAGAGGAGCTCTGATCAACTATCACAGCCACATTTTGGAATCTGAGTGGAGGTCCTGGGAAAGGTATCAGAATAACACTTAGAAGGGACCTTGGGGGGAACCCTATACCATTTCAGAGAAATGGCTGTCCAGTCTTTTCTTAAAAACCTCTAGTGTTGGAGATCCAGAACTTCTGGAGACAAGCAGGTCCACTGGTTAATTGTTCTCACGGTCAGGAAGTTGTTTCTTAGTTTTACGTTGCTTCTCTCTTTGTTCAGTTTCCATCCATTGCTTCTTGTTTTGCCTTCTGCTTCTTTTGGAAAATACATTGCCCCCCCACTTTTTCTGGCAGCCCCTAAAAAGCCTGTTGCCTATCATACTCTTGGCCAAAGCATGTGAGCCATTTCCTCCTTTCAGTGGTCCATGAAAGTACATCTATAGCACGTAGATAATGAAGTCAAAAAAAGGTGAACAACATTTTTACAGAACTATAGATATGTTGAGGCTGGGTGTGACAAGGAATGACTGGGGAGGGGCCAGGCGAGGCACCCCTTGTTGTGACATTGAGTTGGTCATGCCCAGCCAGTCGTCACCAAGCCACGCCCAGCCAGTCACATGACCACCAAGCCATGCCCATAAATTAAGTCATGCCCACAGAACCGGTTGTTAAGAAATTTGAATCCCACCCCTGTTTCAACTATATATAAACATGCAGCAGAAGGGAAGTGTAGGGCAAAGAGTATGGAGTGGAGCATTTCAGAAAAAAATGCAAAGGATTGTTGTTTTTTTGAGTGGTCTTTTATCTATTAAAAATGTGAAAATGAAAACTAGTATAGGAATGGGACTGATGAGAACCTCTGTCCCTGGCCCCACTAGCTTTCCTTTAACAGAGAAATTTAACATTGATCTTTTTCTGTCCCTGCTGCCCCATCTGTAAGTAAGATAAAGCAACATGATCCTTTCCATCACATTTGCAATTCCACTGTATTGCATAGGTGGACTACATCTGAGGGCTACAATAGAAGCAACAAGTTACAAAACTAAAAATATGAGAAGCAACCCAAGCATATAGCTAATGGAGGAGTAAATAAATCTTACTACACTTTCTTGAGGCCACATTAATATTGTCCAGAACTCTTTCATCTTTTCAATCTTGCCTCATGGACAAAGTGTATGGTCAAAAAGGTTCTTTAAAAAGTGAAACACTACAAGTACATCTGAAAAGGGAGAGCTGGTACCAAGAGATCCAAGAACTGAAATGATGTTTCTAGCTATGGACAAAGAAAAAGTATCCAGAATGGTGATGATGGCAGCACACCAGTGGAATGTTCACACTTTTTGGAGAGACTGGTTAATTAAGTGCCCTTGGGAGGGCTCCATTTCAAACAGCTGGGATCCATGATTTTACTGCTGTTGGACCTTTTGACCTCTTTGGCTATCCATTCATCAATAAGATCCTGAGAAGAGGTAGGGGAAAAAGAGAGAGGCAGGTTAAAAGCTTGGAAAAAATTATCAACAGAAGGTAGAACTATAACTAGTATTGGCAGAAATTTCAAGCTAAGATAGCTAAAGCAGTTTTGTTACTACCCCTCTCCTTTGGCACAGTGCTGTACCTGAGGTCAGATCAGCACCAACCCTGCTAGTGTTTAATAAAACCTTTGAAAAGTGAATGCTGCTTAGAGTCATCTGTGATTAGAGTGGCCTTTGGGCCTAAATAAATACATGCATAGTTGTATGTCACAAAAACAATTTAACAGTCCTGCTTTCTTAAGTAAGATGCTCTATGTGTAGGTTCAAAAAAGGCCCCTGACTGATTAATTTCAAAAGAGTCCTATTTTCCTGTATTTTTGCTACAGGTTGAAAACTGATAATGTCAGTATTTCAAGCTTACTGTTTTAGAGAGTGAGGCTGTAATAATTTAGATGGATAAAAAAAGAAAAAGAAAACAGAATAAAGGAAAGCTTTAGGAAACAATGTGTTTACTTGTATTGATTTTGTCTTAATTCATTTACACTGTTCACTGTATGCCTACAAGAAGGACAACAGTCACCACACATTTGTTGTAATGATCATTTTGTTCTTAAGTCAGAATGCCTTAGTCCAGAGTAAGAACAGCTTTTTTAAAAAATCCACCACCAGAAGCCTTGTACAAAAATCAGATATACTGTACAGGTAGTCCTCGACTTACAACAGTTCATTTAGTGACTGTTCAAAGTTACAATGGCACTGAAAAAAGTTACTTATGACCATTTTTCACACTTATGACCATTGCAGCATCCTTATGGTCAGGTGATTTACATTCGGATGCTTGACAGCTGACTTATATTTATGATGGTTGCAGTGTCCCGGAATTATGTGATCCCCTTTTGCGACCTTCTGACAAGTAAAGTCAATGGGGAAACCAGATTCACTTCACAACTGTGTTACTAATTTAAGAACTCCAGTGATTCACTTAACAAATGTGGCGTGAAAAGTAAAATGGGGCAAATTCACTTAACAAATTTCTCACTTAACAATGTAAATTTTGGGCTCAATTTTGGTCGTAAGTTGAGGACTACCTGTACTTTTAAGATTTTAAAACTCAAGCATTTGTTCTGAGCACCAGAATTGAACAATGCTTATAGCTTTTCCACACACAAATTCATTTCTGGAATACTTAATTTTTTTAAAGTTCATCAGTATGATGGGGGAAGGGTGCTTTGGTTGCTATTATTAGACTCTGTGACTCAGAAACCTGAGCAATTCTTCCAAATCACCCAGAGAACTAACAATAAAACAAGAGGTATCTTCTGCTCACAGTTTAGCTTGCGCGCTAGCCAATTAATGTTGCAGTCACAAATGTAAACAAGAATTGTTGAAGGATTAATATTACTTAACACAATGACACTTACTTTCTTGTAGGATTGCTCTGTACACATAAAGTTATTAACATACAATAATGACTGTTTAATAAGATCCAATTTATCTTGCAAAAGCAGAAAGAATATACAACCTGTCCTAATTGAAGCATCCCACCTTTACTTGGAACTATCTATATTTCAGTTTTTCTATTTGTAGTGTCATGGCTATTCTAGTCAGATGTCCTATATTCTTGTTCTCTAATGTGTACTCTTGTTTTTTTAAGCAAACGAAACAACTGGAACCAGTAGCTATCACCACAAGCATAGGGAGAAAAAATTAAGGAATTAAAGGGATTTCTGTTTACAGAAACCCGCCCACACACAGATCAATATTTACATTTTGATTCCGACTACCCACTGGAGCAGAAAATGGGAGTCATCAGAACCCTACACCACTGCACTGAGCTGAAGGCCTGCCTACCAGCAAAGATGGAAAAGAAAAAAACTAAAACACATCAAGGAAGCCCTCAGAACGTGTGGCTATCCCAAGTGGGCCTTCACCAAATCTCAAAAAAGACCCTATAAGAGCTCCTCCATAACAGACAATGAAGAGAACAATAAACAAATCAATGTTGTCATTCCATACGTTGCAGGAATATCAGAAAAGCTCAGAAGGATCTTCAGCCAACACAACATACATGCACACTTCAAACCCAAGAATACACTAAGGCAGAAGCTTGTCCACCCCAAGGATAAAACACCCAGACACAAACTGAGCAACATGGTATATGCAGTACAATACAGTGAGCCATGTGCCGATCTGTACATTGGGGAAACAAAAGAACCACTTAATAAACGCATGGCACAACATAGGAGAACAAACACAACAGGACTAGATTCAGCAGTCCATCTGCATTTAAAAGGCAAAGGCCACTTGTTCTGTCCTAGGCTTCCCCCAAAAGCACTAAGCAGACTCTTTGTCCCGACCAAACGCCTTTTATTAAACAAATGTGAATTTCTTGCATTCACATTCAACGGTATAATTAGGAGCTCAAACCTTATCTATCTTGGAAAGCTGCCCGGTAAATATTTCCAAACACAGTGCTGACAAGGAAGGGCTTAGCACAAAGTCTCTAGGATGCACAGACAGATCTTCACAATGATTGAATTGTTTCCTGAAAAAGCCCCCTCCCCTTTTGCTCTTTTAATCCTTATGGGAGGGGTCATTCATCGTCCACCTGTGGCCTTACTCTCACGTTGACCCTGAGTTTGTAATTGTTCTTTCCTTTTGGCAGCTCTGCGCATGCACAGGCTGGGAACCAGTTCCAGCTGCTCCACCGCCTCATTGCTGTCTGAGCCCAAAGGCTGATGATGACTGCCAGCCTGCCCTGGCCCCATCTCTGCCTCTGACACAGAACCCTCATCTGAGTCTTCCTCAGCCTCCAGGACTGGCCCAGGTTCCTCCCCAACCTCCTCACTGTCTGACTCTGCTGCCAGCTCCGCCAGCTGCCGGCGGGCCACAACACCACTCTTCTGAAGACAGCAAAGTTTACATTTTGGACAGAGAGGACTGCTGGTTTGAAAGAGGGGTCAAAGAGGCCATCTATGTCAAAATTGAATAGCCCTCTCTCAACAGAGGGGGAGGGATACGACATCATCTATCTCCAGTCTACAACACAGTCCTTTCAACAGTTCCAAGAAGGTTACACACCCATATGCACCACTCAAGTGACCCTGATGACACAGATAAACCTCCAGGTGGCCTTAGAGCAGGGGTGTCAAACTCATGTTGTCATGGCAGCGTCACGTGACGTACTGGGACTTCCCCCCCTTCGCTAAACTGGGTGTGGGCGTGGCCAGAGCATGAAGCATCCAGCTTGCGGGCCGGGAGTTTGACAGCCCCGCCTTAGAGACTCACTAAAATAACGCAAATGACTAGCTGTCTGCAAGGAGTATAAATCCATCCATTCCCCACCATCCAGTCAGAGCTGAAGAAGCTTCTTGGATGAGAAGCAAAACGTCTTCAAAGAAAAACCATAAAGTCCAGTTGCCTCTTGAAAAAACACCTTTGGGACAACCATGACCTGGATAACTGAGAATCTCCATAGACATTTAAGGGATCAAAAGAGAAACAGGGGTCATATGTAAATATTGTTTTCTGCAGCCATCCAAAAATACTGCAACCAACTGGTTTTGCTCTACAAAATGTTTACAGTGGGGATGGAATGGAAAGTTCTGTAGCTCTTCAGATACTGGACTCCCAACAATATTCAGACAGCTATGGGTTGCCAGGAAAACTAAAAGAGTTCTGCAAGAGATTTCTGTGCTTAGGTAATGAATACAAACTCCTGTTTTCTGATACAGCATATCTAGGGCAGGAGATCAATTTCTCCCCCAAAATTCAGAGCATACAGTCAATACCCACAAACATCCCAAACAAAGATGCAGAGCTGCAAGGCAAACTCTTACCTGTCTTTTTAGAACCAGGTGTTTGCCTTTCCAGTACTTGAGCATCTGAAGGGCTTGCAGAGTGCTAACAATGTCGACAGGATTGACAGCTGTCTCTTGGCTGATCTCTGGAATAAAGTGATACAAGAGTCTATTATACTAGACAGGTGGTAATGAAACAAATACTTGAGATGATCTACTGAAAAAACACCTTTGGAGGTATGATCAAACTTTTCTCCTCCTATAGGAAGAAAAATAGGCTGAACTAACGGGCTGGAGTTGTTTCAAAAAAATTGCTTCTTAGCATGCATTAATTTATTCTCCACAGAGATTCGAGATCATTTGAAAATTTTGGAATTCATTGGCAAGCTCCAAGGGAAGGACAGGCATAAGGTAGATTAAGGATTAAAAATGGGGAAAAAGCATCTGGAGAAAAGCAGCCATGAAAGATAAATGAAAAAATTATCAGACTTTTTAATCTCTGGACACCTTGACCTATTTCTCAACAGGTTCTTAGGTTTGATTCATTTTAAAATACCTCATTTCTTGCAACATGGTAAGACAGACATTTGTGGTAAGAGTATGGAGTACAAGGGTGAGAAAAATGAGATGCCCATATTAGATTTAGACTCTGGGGGAAATTTTAAATGTCCCCATTTTCTATCAAATTGAGAAAAGCTGCTCCAAATGTCCACAGTGAAGTGAAGGTAGAATTTAAAGTAAGAGAGATGGAGAACAGAGAGATGGAGAAAAGTAGAACCCACCTTTAATGGAGATTTCTTTGCCTTGGAAATTATGCAGATAACGGAGAAGAACCTCCTTCCAGTAACTGCGGTAGCTAATAAGTCCCAAGTCTGAGAGGGGCCTTTCTGGGGAGCCAACTTTCTCTTCCACTTTGGAGAGTAAATAGCCTGTTTAGGGAGCACACATACTCTTTTGCAATTTGGTATTTTTAGAATATTTCCACCACAGTTCCATACATGGCTCCATAAACCCACCATCATCTGAGAGTTCAAATACTTTGTGGTGGGCAAACCTCTTCAAAGTATATTCATTTCTTGGATTTAGTGCACATATGAAATAAATGCAGTTAAATGCAGCCATGCAGGGCAAATTTTAAGTTGGTTCAAAAGATAACATTGCCTGGGAAAGTTAGAAACCTTTGTATCTGAAGGTCCCCAGATACATAGGCCAAAACCCTCACTACCCCAGATAGTACAGATATTGCTATCCAATGTATCAGGATGGGAGCAAATAACGGAGGCTGTACTACAATATTACTATTTGCTCTGAGCTTGAAACAAATTGAGGATGCACAAGGTTGTGCAAGAGGAACCATGTGGGTCAGTGAGAGCATGGGGCACAAGAGGCACCATGCTGTTTGGGGAGGGCGCATACGTGGCCTGAGCAAGCACAGAGAGGCTAGGAAAGGGTGTGCTGGCAGGGAAGACTTACCCCAGCAACTTGCAACCTTCTCTATTAGCTTCCTCACTGACTTTCTGAGAAGCCAGCAGGGAAGGTTGCAAAAGGGCTGCAAAATCCTCAGATCGCTATCACAAGGACTCTATTCACTGGACGAATGGTTCTAGGTTGACAGACCTATAAGTTTATTATTCGTCATTGTCTAATATTATGTACTGTCAACACACATATAAATATATATATACTTACTGAAATCGATAAGCATTTTACCATAACCCTGCCTCATGTACTGAGGCATTGTCAGTATGCAAGAAACATTATAGTTGAGAAATGAGTTCTTCTCCTGAAATTGAACAAGATAGCACTTCAGGCTCATGTTTCATATGAATAATGTCAAAATATAGTTAATAACATTCTGGCTCAAATCTGAGCAAAACAAGGTGGCTGAACAAACCAAAATATTCTGTGTACTCAAAAGCCATTAGGCCTATGATTATGAGATATTCACCTCCATTATGTCTTGGTATGCCAATTAATGTTTTCTGAACCTCAGCTCACAGTGAGACAAATCAAAGTTTTCTTTGTTTGCTGCACGTCTGTCCAAGCAAATTTTCCTTTTGTGGCTCTGTTAGTGGCTTAACATCTGCAAAGCAGTGGTAGTATTCAGCCAGTTCGCACTGCTTCGGGTGAACCGGTAGCAAGGATTTGGCGTGGGTCACTGAACCGGTAGTAAGTTCTGGCTGGCCACGCTCCCGACCCCGTTGCCTGGTCACCACTTGGCTCACTTGACCTGCCCGCCTGACGCTCGCTCACCCTGCCCGACGCTCGCCCCTTAAGGTATTTTTTTTTCCCCTCCTGACAATCAGCTGTTCATATGATCAGCTGTGCCGGGATTCCCCTTGCTGAGCCCCAGGGGAGCCTTCTGGTAGCAAAAATGCCCCCCCAGAGGCTCCTCTGAGGCCAGGAAGGCCCCAAAATGGAGCTGGGGGTGCTGTGCGCCCCCTTCCAGGCCAGTGGTGGTATTCAGAAGGTTCTGACCAGTTCTGGAGAACCGGTAACGGAAATTTTGAGTAGTTTGGAGAACCGGTAGCGGAAATTTTGAGTAGTTCGAAATACCACCTCTGACTGGCCCCACCCCCATCTATTCTCTGCCTCCTAAGTCCCAGCTGATCGGCTGGGTCTTCTTTTGTTGCCCTGTACAGGAGAATGGAGCTGGAAAGCAGGTTAGTGGGGTGGGGAGCAAATGGATATTTTACGGTATCCTTCCCCTGACACTCCCACCAACCCACGCCCACAGAACTGGTGGTAAAAAATTTGAATCCCACCACTGCTCCAGGCTCTGTTTTCTTCTTGAGTCCCAGGGGAGCCTTCTGGGAGCAAAAATGCCCCACCCCAGGAGGCTTGCCTGAGGCCTAGAAGGCCCAAAAAACGGGTGGGGGGGGGTGGCTGCAAAAAAGCAAAAAATACAATAATAAATAAAAATAAAAAAGCCATGCCCACCCAGTCACATGGCCACGCCCACCAAGCCACGCCCACAGAACCGGTAGTAAAAAAGTTTGAATCCCACCACTGGTGCAAAGCATGGGATAAACTTTCTATAAAAGTTTGCAAAGCCTAATAAACTCTGAACATCCTTTGATGTGTGGGGATTTTTCCAGTCAAGCTCTGCTTGGGCTTTCTGGGGGTACATTTGAACTCTATCTGTGGAAATGTAGTAACCTAAAAAATCTAGCTGTTTGAAGTCAAAATAACATTTTTCTAATTTAGCCAAAGGGTGATTTTCCCTCAGTTTACTTAAGACCTTCCACAACTGGTGGTTGTGCTGAGATTCATCTTTAGAGTAGATTAGGATATAATTCAGATAAAATACCAAAAATTTGTCAATCGTATCAGAAAAAAACTGGTTCATAAACCCTGAAAACGCTGCCCCACAGTTAAAGAGTCAGAATGGCATAATGGTGTGTATTCAACCTTGCCACACCTGGTATCAAATGCAGTTAAAAATTCATGGCCTTCCTTGACTCTAATGAGATTGACTTAGGGCATGTCATTTAATGGGTTGAAAATTAATTTTTGCAATTTTTTTTCACTGAGGGGTTCTAAAAATATGTGTTTTTACACCAATAATTCAAATCTGTTATTTTTGCAATTGCACGTTTAATTTGGTATTGTAAATCCACGTCTGATCATATACCACACAAAAGTCTCTTGTAACCCAAATACTGTTAACTTTATCTTCTCAAAATTACAACTTGTGCTACAAAAATTAAAGTTTTTTTCTGCATGAATCTTATTTAGCTAAGCAAAAAATAATCTATGCAATCATAAACTAACATCAGAAAGCAATTATCTGAGTTACAAAAATGTTTAAGTGAGTTTCATCAATACTTGTTTTGATTCGTTCAACATCAGTCACCAACTTTCTTCTTGGTCTCTGATATAACCCTCACATTTCTCATGTGTATACACTCTGCTTGCTGACTCTGTGACCTGTTTCACACATCTCTATTGATTGGGCATGACAGGGCCACTGTGGTACTTGCATTGGTTTGTCAATGAACTTTATTTCCGATGTAGTCAGTTTGCACGTCAAAGGTGGCTCATATACACCTTCAGACCAGTCAATCAGCTACAGCAGAGTGGATGCTCTGGCATTTTTCTTGCACATACAGAAAAGTCTCCCAGCCCATCATTGTCTGCACCCCTCAAGTCAGTGAGCTTTTGCATACCAGCTCTCCTCTCTTGAATGTCATCTGAACACAAGAGTGTCTGGATTATCATTTCACTGAAAGCATACCATGCTGACCACTGAATGGTTGGCAAAACAGCATCTACTACAGCCTTCTTTTGCAGTCTGACTTGCTGCAGCTGGAACAACACATGACACAGGCCTTCAATCCAGGAAAGGTTTACTTTGATGTTGAACCAGCAAGGGTAGTACACACCAACAATGTATTCCACTATCATTCTTAAGTTTTGAAGAGTTTTTGCTTTTAAAGCCATGTTTTGAAACCCATATTCAACAAAGCCTATTTGCAGTTGTCAACCAGCGTGAATGGCTTACGGGACCAATTTCCAGAAGAAAGGGAAGTTCTTCTGTCCTTATTGCCTGTGTGATCATATATCCATATGCTTGATCAGTAGAGAGATCCTTTGCAACACTGTCACTCAGTGAAATGAGAGGCTCAACAATTGAAACTCTGATGAGTGAAGGATCAACGTCAAGTTCTGTTGCAGTGTCTAGCATGTTGCCAATTTTACCTGCCCATTTGTTGTTAGACAAGGTCTTCCTATCCAATTTTGTGATTAAGTGTCATAGGGGTAACTCATTTGTGTGGAGTGCACACACCAACCAGATAAACATCCTGTCAAGCTTGACCTCTACCCAGTGCATGGCACCACCTTCACAGCCAGTATTAACATTTGTAGAATCTCCTCCAATGGCCTTCAAGCTTTTTTTTTTTTTGAAAATTTTATTGATTTTTGAAAACAAACATAAACAAACAAAACATAAAACATAAAAACATAAAACATCTTTTTTGAAAGCAGCATAGTCCCGGGTTACATCTCTTCGTACAGACACAAATTCAAGTTCATGCTCATTTTTATATTCCATTCCATACCTTATTACTATTCTACATTTTCAATATAGCTTCTCCCCTCTTTTAACTTTCTTAATTTTATTTTATTTATTTCATCTCAATTTGAATCATTGTACTTATATTCTTTGTCTGTCCTGTTTCAACTATCTACTATCTTTTCTCATTAAACAAAATTTCTCCTGTAATCACTGATTGGAGTATGACGCCTTTATATCTCTCCCCTAAAATTATAACAATATAATACATAACTTCCATTCGGATTCTGCTTGGTACTTTCTAAAACTACATACTGTATTTTAAAAAAAGAAAAAATTATAAATGTATAATATAATTAGAACAACAATCCATACCAATTCAATTCTATCATTAATATTAATATTCATTTAAATCTTAACATTTTACACATTACTTTTCAGATAAATATCATACTTCTATGGGAACACTTATAAACTTTCCATAGTTACTTCCCCCCCACTTCACTTATATTTTATAAAACATTGAATAATTAAAATGTTCCCGTTCCTTCCTAATTCAATTCTCTCATTTGTTTTATTTCATTTATTTTGTTCACAAAAAATTCACTAAATTACACTGACTATTTTATCCCTCTTTTTAATCATATGTTGTTTCCAATTTTCTAACATTATTTCTATTAAAAATATAACAATACCATCTTATGTACCTTCACAGAATCCCTTTTTCAGTTAGATTTTCACCCATTATCTCTGAATAGGACCTGTTTCTTTACATCTTGCTCCAAACCTTTGTAACTTCTCTTCCTTTCCTTCTTCTCTCTCCCCTTTTTACCCCCCTGTCTCTCCACCTCCATTTCCCTCTTCTGTATTCCCCTTTTCTGTTGCTTTCCAACATTATATCCACTTTTCAAATTATTTTTCCCTTTTTTGGTTGTTTTTTTAAGTCTTAAATTCTCCATTCTCTTTCCCCCCCTTTCCCCTTTCTTCCCCAGATAGAGTTACTTGTTCATTAAAGATGGCTTCTTCTTTGTCCCAATCTTCTTGTTGCGCAGTCTTTTCTTGTTGTTTCTCGTAGTTATGAATCGCCATTTCTAAGAATTGAAAAACGGAGCCAAAGGAGCCCTTCCCTTCTTGTGTCTCTTCTTTATATTTTTTAAATTCCATTTTCAGTTCATCCAGAGATAGTGCCATTGTAAAAAATTTTAAACAACCACCCAATTGTTTTTAGTCATTCAAATATAATATCCAAAAATCCCAAAGTCACCAAGCAATCCAAATACACACAAGCTGTTTCTTTTTACACTTTCTTCTTTTTTCACTTTCTCTTCCTGGGGTTACTATTTAGTTACAAAGTTCCAGTTAAAATGTATCTTTTAGAAGTCTTATTGAGATTTTACATTAAATTCTTTTTTTTTTAAATAAATTTTATTAAATTTACAATTAAAAACATATTGACATTACATACACAAAGAAAGAAAAAAAAAACACTCGGCCTTACGAACCGGAAAGAGAAGAGAAGGAGAGATATAAAAGAAAGGAAGAAACAAAGAAAGAGAAAAAGAAATGAAAAGAATACATTTAAAAACAGACAATATCCTTTTTGACAGTCTGCAAGATCCAATTCTCCTAACTTAATTTGAATACGCACATCTTATCGATATCTATGCTTAAATTACCCATTGTCTTTTAAGCAGTTTATCTCTGGATTAACCAATTATACCAAGAGTTCCAATTATCGTAAAATGTTGAAGGCTCTTTATTTTTAA